TACTTGCCTAGAATTTACAGTGAAGTGCGTGTTCATTGAAACCTTTTTGAGCTCTATTGTGGTCCAGATATAGCCATACTACATCTGGTTCATTTCCAGTGAAATACCCGTACCTGAATTTTAAATACACCAGTGAAATAAACCATGTTCATACTTATCGATGTTTCATCTGCAGTCATTCTTACATCTGGCATCATTGTATGTCAAGGACATCTTGCTATCACCACATAAAATACAATAAAACACATTTGTAAGTATGTTTGTATATAAACGTCAAAAGAAAAGATGTAAAGGACCAAATGGCTAGAGTTAAGAGGCAATCTTGAATACTGGATATACTCATCAATGTATTTGGGATGTGGTGTCAGGTTCTACACATCGGTCTACCAATATGAATTACTAAAACTACACATATTAACTGTAAAATGGTCAATGAGTGACTGAGAAACATAATGAGTTGATTTACGTAGAAATGCTATATTTTAATAACCACTACACACAGTCACCTAACCGTGGCCTTTAGGGTCTGGAGTATTGGCGCTCTGTTCTAATGACCTCTGCCATACTCCAGCTTGGTAATTGCCTTGTTTTATACACTGTTTAAGACTGTCCTCACGCAGTGCCAGAGCACTGGAGTCCACCTTACTAATGGTTGGGGCCAAGATGGTGTAGAGGTAGAACAATCGACTTGAGACCAGAAAGTCACAGTTCAACTCCCTGCCATGCCCACATGCAGTGGTGTCCCTGAGCAAGACACCCATTCTCTAACTGCTCCCCGGGCGTTTACATGGCTGCTCCACCTGATTGTATCTCAGGTGTGATGGGTTAAATGCAGAGAACTAATTTCGTCATTGTATAGAAACATACGATGACAACACATAGCACATTACTTTAATGCATTGTTTGGCTCGGCCTGTCCTGAACTGGCCCAACCTGGGTTCCACCTCCGTCTTGTTGAAGCGTCAAAATTTACGGTTGAAACCCGTGCCTTTGTTTAAAAAGTTGTTTCTCTCTGCAGAAAGAAGCTGAGAACTTGTTTATTGATTTTTTTTTATTAAAAGCTTTGTGTGACAAATGCTAAAGGGCTCAAACCACACCGAGCAACCGCCATTTTTAGAACCGAATAAAGGAAGGAGAGACAGCCCATGTCACGTCAAGGGGCCTCCCTCCCATTTTTCTTAAAGAGACACACTGCTCGCTCCCTCACTATCCATCCTTTGGTTCAAACAGTCTTATACTGCCATCCTGTGGTCAAAAAAGGTACTACATGCAAAACAAATTAACCAACATTTCTTCTTAAATTTGACAATAATTACTAGTTATTGTCAAATTTCAAACAATATTAATGTTTATCGCAATAATTTCTGAGGTAGGGGAAACGCCACGAGACGCAGCGCTCCCAGGGAACCCCTCACGCTGCAGTCTACGTCACAGGAGCTCTCGTTGACGCGCCGATGATGTAATTTTCCAGCGGTGGAGAACGTCGAGGTCGTGTTTTTCATGGTGCTCATTCTAATCAAGAGACGGAACGTTAGACTGTCCCGGCAGTGACGGCGGCCGCAACGGCTGCGCGCAGCGAGAAAGACAAAGCAGGAGAGCACAAGGCGGCGTTGCAGCGTCGCGTGAAACCATGCAGCAGTTTGAGTTCCAAGTGGAAGAAGAAAGGAGAAGGCGTCTTAATCCGGTAATCTATAATGTCCGGTAATCTATAATGCTACATCAAGTTATCAGCAGTGCATCATAAAAGTTGCATACACGTTTTAAATTTCACTGGTATTTACAGGATCTGCACCGCGTTGCGTTTTCCAGTTGGCTCTTTGAGCTTGAACCCGTTCCTCCAGAACTCGAAGCTCGGCCTCTATTTCAAACGTCTTGAGCTGTGCGGCCCGTGAACACACGTCGGGTGGATTATCAGAACCGACGGGTCCGGAGTGTGGAACTGAGAGGCGTGTGGTTAACGGAGGTAAAACATTTACTCTTTCTGTAAATCTTAATGCGATGAAGTCTCATTCCTCGAAGATGCGTTTTATTTTATCATTGTAAATAAAATGATGAGACTTTAACTAATTTGATCTCATTTCAGGAACAACGTATTTGTGCGTCGCAGTAGAGTCTGTAAGTAATTCAGGGTCAATTTTATACTTTTTACTTTTGTTCGAGTACTTTTACAAACGAGTCATCAACAGAGTAACTTTTACTTGGCATCGTTTCTTTTCCTCCATTCTTTCGGCTACTTCCACACTAAACTTTAGCTCGTCTGTAAAACCAATGGAGGTTTAACCTGCTAGGTCCATTAGCTGTGGCGGCCATCTTGAATGGGGTTGACTCCAAAAGTAATTTATTGATTTGACACATTTCCCTCAAATCTAACTCCTAGTTCATGATATTTTGCTAACAAAGAAATGACGAGGGTGATTACATTATCGCCCACCTGTGACCTCATGATGAAGAACAAGAGGTTTTATTTTGAGATTGCAGAAGTGATGCCAAACATGGTTTCATATTGTGAAACCACTTCTGACCACCTGAGGACGCCATTTTACCATTAAAGGTGTGCAAAAGTCTTAATCCAAACCTTTTTTCTTTCCAAGCAGCCGAACATTAGAAAAATGTTTTTGAAATAGGTTTTTTGCTTTAAATTATCTTAATTTTTGTTGTTCTAACAATTAATGAGTAACTTTTAACAACATAATCTTGAGAAATTAGAGTTTTGTTTTTAGGATGAAAACATTCAGAACACAAAATCATTGTTTTATTTTATACAAAAAAACATTTTAAATATAAAAGGATGATACAATAAAGTGCAAACACTGAAATCTGTTCGAATTATTAATGCAGTGTGTTAATGAGGAGTGAACAAGTGATTTGTTATAAATGTAATTTTACAAACAGCTTCCTGTTGAATCGACTCATCGTGGATCAGCTGTTAAATAAAACATTTAATCTGTAAAAAGATGAACTTCGGCTGCAGAGTTCGAGGATTTCAGGTGAACTTCTTGATGAAGCGCAGTTTGAGGTACGCGATGGAGAGGAAGCAGAAGATCATGATGATCAGAGCCAGGTGGTTCTGCCACAGACCCCAGGTGGAGTAATCGATGCCCTGCTTCTCCAGGTACGCCTCCCCCGTGCACCTGGACGCAAGATCAGACATCTGTTATCTGAGCCAGAACCAGGGAGCGGACCACGAGGGTCCGTTTCAAATTTCAGCTCAGTGTAAAACTGAGTTATCTCTGTGTTTAAGATTGATCAGCTGTGGCTGCCATCTTGAATCAGGTTGATCCTGAAAGTAACAAAATAATGCATTTTATTTAAAAAGCTATTGTCAGACACTCAAGGACAAGGTACAGCTAAAATCCACCAAAGAGCAGAAAATAAACATTAAAATAGAAAGTACACCTGAGTAAATTAAGATGGACAGCTAATCCTGAGAATTAGTTTTGAACCGTGAGAGGTGATGTTTCATAGTTCAGAAGCTCGTGAGGTCCAGAGTCGAGCAGAGCGGCTGAAAGCTCCTCGTGGTGGTGAGGCGGGCAGAAGGTACAGAGACGTGGAGGGAGGAGGCAGATCTGATGGTGCGGGAGGGGATGGAGATCTCCAGAAGGTCAGATAAATATGGAGGGACGAGACCGTGGATGTCTTTAAAAGTGTAAAGAAGAATTATGACGATGTGAAATTTCACCTGTAGCCAGTGACGCTGCAGGACAGGAGTGACACAGGAGGTTTGGGTCGTGACACGAGCAGCAGAGTTCTGAACCATCTGTAACTTATGAAGGGATTTAATGGGGAGGCCAAAAAGAATTGAGAAGAATAAGAGAATTACAATCAATCTGGGGGTGTCATGGCTTGGAATGAAGGATGAGAGAAGGACGGGACGGTGGAAATAATCCGACCGAGTGGCATCATTGATCTGGGACGTGAAGTAAAACGAGCTGCTGAGGATGACGCCCAGACTCGACTTGAGGGGAGGGTTAAATCACTGAGATAAGTGGGAGGAGAGAGCGTTCATATTTGGAAAGAGTGCTGTTGGTACAAGGATGAGTTCGGTTTTATCACAGTTCAATGCGAGAAAATTGTAGGAAAAGCATTTTGAGCTCACTGAGACAATCAGTGAGGGTGGAGGGTGGGAACATGTAATTAGGTTGGTAGACAAGTAGACATGGGTGTCATCTCTGAACCAGTGAAAAAGGATGCCAGATTCATGGAAAATATGACTTGGAGGAAGAAGGCAAGTAATGAAGAGGAGGGACCCAAGGACAGAACCTTGGGGCACACCAGTAGAAATAAGGGAAGACTGAGAACGTAAATATTGAAGTTGTATGAACCGAGTACGACCAGAGAGGTAAGATTTGAACCAGTCAAGGGGAGTACCAGAGATCCAGAACCGAATCCTTCCAGACATTTATGAGAACTTGTGTTTTGTGTTTCTTACGAGATAACTGGAGGGATGATGGTGCCGTTCAGCCCTGAACAGAAGTTCAGCCCCGTGAACTCGTTAATCTGCAAAGCCTAAAAAAAGCATAACAATCAGCTTGAATGATGTACAGCTTTTAAAAATCTGAATTCCACAGTTTTGTACTTACGCTTAACCCATATCTGGGTATGCTGAAGAATTTTAACCAGCTGAGCCAGCTGACGATGGAGGAAACGTTCACCAGCAGGCCTGCAAAGATCTGCAGAAGAAAGACGAGTTGGTGAGATATTTATCTGCTCGTCTTATTGTCCGAGCTCCTTTAAATAAAACGTGATAAAACATTTGTACAACAGAATTCTCCATACGGAGTCTTAAGATGAAAATAGTTTTCTTTAGTTTCTGTGAAGTTCAATGTGGGGAAAGAACTGAAGTTGGTGGAAAAGCTTCAGCTGCTTGTTTTTCCACTGGCAGCTCTGCACCTTGTGTTGACCTACCATCATGAAGACGAAGGAGATGGTCATGTAGATGTTGGCGATGGCCACCACCGTCTGGTCGGCTGAGATGGCCATGACCATGGAGGTGGCTGTGTAGGCCACCAGAGCCACGGTGAACATGAAGGTGAAGAAGGCCTCTACCGTGAACTTCAGACCTGCAGGAAAAACATCAAATCCGTTCATCAGGTACAGAATTTATTTTTTCTTCTCCAGTGAATTAACTCGCACGAAGACTTGATCGTTTTTACGCTGGATGTTCTTCCTGACGCAACCACAGACACCGAGCTACCACAGCCCTCTGAGAGGAGCTGAGAACTTCCATCTAGGAAACCGGCGACCTTCCATTCACAGGCCCACCTTCTCTAACCTCTTCACCACCACTCCCCCTAAACGAAGGTGAGGGTAGGAACATAAACAGAGAGCTTCTCCTTGCAGCTCGGCTCCCTCTTCACCTCAACGGACCGGCACAGAGAAGATTGAGGAAGCTGCGCCGATCCATCTGTTCCCACGTCCTTTTCTTCCCTCGCTTGTGACTAAACCCCAAAATAATCCTGTTACGAAATATCAAGCTACAACAAACTGAATTATTTAGAATTAAACTGCATTTTACCCACCGATCATGAAGTAGGCGACGCAGGAGAAGATGATGGCAGGGATGGTCCTCAGCGTGATGATGTCAGACAGGATCTTGCACAGGAAGTAGACGGACACTCTGTAGTAACCGCTGATGTATTCATGACTGCAGAAGAAAAGGTCCATCATCTCTGAGCAGATGGTGAGCACTCAAGGTTCAGGGGGCGGTTCTTACAGTAGGCCCAAACTAACTTGACCTTTGACCTCTTACAGTGGTCTGATTTGGTGATCGGTAAATTTCAGATTTCAGGTGTGTTCTTGTGTCAGACCTACGTGAAGAGCTTCCTCTCAGTGATGAAGAGTTCTGCAGCCGACAACGAGCCGAAACACTGATTCGTAACGATGAAGAAGAGACAACCGAGCCTGAAAACAACAAACCGGACGGTTCCATTATGACAACAGCGATCAGTAACTGGTGCCACCAGCACCACAGCGAAACCACCCCAGGTGTCTCAGAACACGAGCGCACGATGTGGCGCAGCTCAAAGGGTTGAACGTGGTCATCAATCCAGACGACTGGGCCTGAAACTGTCCGGTGCACTACCTGTTCTGAATGCCGTTCTCATCCTCTTTGATTTCAAAGAAAAGGGCTCCGACAATCAGAGCGAGGAAGATCGTCACGACCACCTGAGCACAGAAACACAAACCCAGAGGGAACCAGTCAACGAAACGGCTTCTGAGAAATACGGAAACATTTTAAAGTACCGCGCTTTCCAGACTATAAGTCACATCTTTTTGCATAAATTAGAAAGTCCTGCGACTTAAAGTCCAACGCGACTAATTTATGTTTTTCTTCCATATTTATAACAGTTTTTGACGGATCTGACGATTTCGTTCATTCTGACTGAAAATATTGAACACTACCATTTTCATCCACCAGAGGGCACTTGACCGATACGGCAAGCCAACAGTCTCATTAATAGGTAAAAGTGGCTATTAATGAGACACTTGGCTTGCCATACCAAGCCACCTTCATGTCGCTCCGGAACTCCTGGAGCTGCGTTTCACCGCGCCGCCCCGGTGAAACGCAGCTGATTTGACCAGTAAAGTGCATTTATTAAGGAAAAGTTCAACTGGGACACACCTTTACTATAATGTCGAGCAGACAAATAATTGTTTTTAAGTGTTAATCTTGTTAAATTCTTGTTAAAGTCCTCCCGTGCACACTCCCGCAGCCGCCATTTGGCAACCATTTGATTTTTGGCACAACACCGGTGCACGTTTCCAGGTCGTCAGTGGTGACGCGTAATAGACGCGACTTATTTATGATTATTTCCACTTTATTAGACATTTTTGAACTGAAGCGGCAGAAAGTACGGTAATAACTTCCCTGATAAAAGAATAAAAAATGAAAAGCTCAACCCATGAACGCCGCAGGTTAAAGTTTGTTTAAAGGAGAAACAGACGAGGTTAACCGTGCTTCTACCTGGGCGATGGAGGTCTGAGGGTTGAGGATGAGGTTGCGGAACGTCCTCTTGAGAACCCATCTGAACTGGGTCAGGAAACCAGTGTTGTAGGTGATGGTTCTGGAAGGAGAAAACTTGGTCGTCTGCTTTCCCTCAACGATTCTTTCTAAGAAACAAAAAGGTGAAAGAAGTTAACATCAAAACTTTTGAACGTGTTTGTCGTCTCTTCATAAACGTTTTATCTCTCAGGGTTTTTGTGGCTCACTGGATGTTAACGGTGCATCTATTCAACATGGTACCTACCCAGCTCCTCTTTTGTTTGTTTGAAGTATTGACAACTTCTGTACTCTTCCACCAGTTTGTCCTCGATTCCCCTTCTAGACTTTGTCACAGAATCCAAGTCCTGAGCTGAATCTGCTCGCAGAAGAAGAAAACAAGTCTCAGTGCAGGTCTGGAAATTATCGTTGCTCTGAAAACACAAACTGAGGCCAAGATTCAGTTGATCGACTTCTGTAGATTCCCATGAAACTGAACCTCAGGTTTACTTTCCAGGTCTTTAGGAGGTACAGGCATTTCTAAAGGAACTGGAATTATATTTTATTCATCCTAGATTTGTCCTGAAGCATCCGTGCAACAAACGTTCCTTGCGAGATATCTGAAAGATATGTTCACCAGACCCTCCCCCCAAATGACTGAACACATCTTATTCCAAACTTCTGGAGGAACCTCATTTTTACTGCTTGTATTTGTGGAACGTACAGTTTTATTTGCTGTGCTAATATTCAGTTTAAGCCTTTAACTGGACATGTATCTACAGCTGGAGTCTGCCTGATGAAGCCAGAAGAAGCACATTGTCTGTAAACAGTAAAAATGCATTTTAAAGCCGTCTCCGCCCGTGGCTGCATCCAGCAGTTCTTCCCCAGATGAGTCCAACATTCAGTGGAAACATGTTGGACTTGGTGATTCAAACCAAGTTCCTACTCTTTGTGTACTGGGACCAACTGGTCCAATAAAACCTTCAAGGACACCACAAGGGACAGTTGTAAGTCTTGTCCAAGTCAAGTAAACACAGAAACTGACCACAGTTTGGTACAGACTCTCCCAGAGATGCTGGGAAGTGTGACCCATTTGGAGTCGGAGCCTACCTTCACAAAGAAGGACCACTTAGGACTTGACATTTTACAGGGAATGCCCTCGACATCTACTGCATTAAACAGGTGTATATCAAGAACAGCCAACAACAAATGGGACCTTCAGTAGCCCAGGATGAATCTCGTGCACCCCTGGACTTCTGCCCCTGCCGAGTTGTCCACAATGTCCACACTCCAGTCCCAGATCCCTCCAGAGTCCAGAGTGTACCTGGACCACAGAGCAGGTGTTCTGTCTTTCTACAGCATCTCTGAAACCAGGGCTCTCCTCCACAGAGTCCAGACCAGATCTTAATTTGAGCTGGATCCTGCTGGAACAGGATCCAGGAGCTCTTATTTTGACAGGGTGGATCCGGTAACACTCAGGCTCACTAATAATAAAGTTATGAACAAATTTGACTGCCTTGAACAAATAAAACCTACACTGGATATGTAAACTGAAAATAATTACATAAACACTAATTTTAAACACAACAGCCATTTACGTACTTCCTAACATCATATCAGAGCTGCTCCTTCAAGTAAGCATTTCCACTTCTACTATTAAAAAAATCTCTGCCCCATAAAGTTCAGTCATGGGAAATCTAATTAAAAATACAAAAATATAATTAAACAGCACAACTAAACTGCAAATCAGTTTGACAGTTTAAGTGGGTCATTAATATTTTTTAAATTATTTATTAAAAATATGAAATGTTTGATAGTAATCATGTTACGTACATCACGTATCAAAACAACGGCACCAATTTGTCAAAATAACAGCGATCAAAATGTGGAAAAGAGTCCAATTTACTTTCATTTTTAAAAGTCTTCTCATTGTTCAACCAAACAACGGAGAATTGAAGCACATGGAGGCAGTGGTGATGGAGCATGTGGAGTGGTGTGGGTGAGAGCCGAGCTAACCAAGATGTCATACCCGGGCAGGAACCCACAGCCAGCCGTCATGAACAGCCGGAGGAGGAGCCTGGAGGTTTCACATGCTGAGGAGGACACCATTGATGAGGACAGGGAATTCAGAGGAGAAGAGTCAGGCTCAGAACCGTCAAGTGAGGGACGCCCAACAATCGGGACAGCTGCCCAGTTCAAGGTGGTGGGGGGAGGGGCAGTTAGGATACTTGAGAGAAATGGAGCGTGCTCTATTCACACAAGGAGAGCTGTTGGTCAGGTTACTTCTTGTTGCTCTCTAAAATAGTTATTGAATCAAGTGTTTACAAATGTAGGTGAACGTAGATGTTTAACAATCCGTTAAAATGCACAAGACTGCAGGAAATGGCATATACTTTATTCAAAATTTCCTGGAAGACACCCAGACCCCCCCCCCCACACACACACACACACACACACACACACACACACACACTTGCATTCCAGCATCATTGGTTTACAAATCAAGCACTGGTGAAAAATGAAGAAAGTCTCTAATGCAGATTCAAATATATGATTTAAACCTGCCCTGTGTCTTTAACAGATCCGCTCTGACGGGTTACTTCCTGGTTCTTTCCCTTTAACAGATCTGACGGCTCAACTCCAGGAAGTAAAAATGAAAGAAAAGAAAACAGGTTTGGCCTCTTGTGTAACGTATTTAGACTGGTTGTCGGTTCTTTAGAGGTGAAACGTTGCAGCAAGAAAACCAAATGGATCCTGTAAAGTTCTCCTGTTCCATCTGTTTGGATCTCCTGAAGGATCCGGTGACCATTCCCTGTGGACACAGCTACTGTCTGAGATGTATCAAAGAACACTGGGATGGAGAGGATCAGAGGAGACTCTGTAGCTGCCCTCAGTGCAGGAAGGACTTCATACCGAGGCCTGTCCTGGTGAGGAACATCACGTTAGCAGAGCTGGTGGAGGAGCTGAAGAAGACTGGACTCCAAGGAGCTTCGGCTGGACCTGAGCTGGTGGAGCCCTCCAAGAAGCTCCAGGAGAACATCTGCCCTCTTCATGATGAGGTGATGAAGATCTTCTGTCGTACTGATCAGAAGTTAATCTGTTATCTCTGCTTGATGGATGAACATCAAGGACATGAAACCGTCTCAGCTGCAGCAGAAAGAGCTGAGAAGCAGAAGGAGCTCGAGGCGAGTCGACAACAAATCCAGCAGAGAATCCAGGACCAAGAGAAAGATGTGAAGCTGCTCCAGGAGGAGGTGGAGGCCATCAATGTCTCTGCTGATCAAACAGTGGAGGACAGTGAGAAGATCTTCACTCAGCTGATCCGTCTCGTCCAGAAGAGAAGCTCTGAAGTGAAGCAGCAGATCAGATCCCAGCAGGAAACTGAAGTGAGTCGAGTCTTGGAGCTTCAGGAGAAGCTGGAGCAGGAGATCACTGAGCTGAAGAGGAAAGTTGCCGAGCTGGAGCAGCTCTCACACACAGAGGACCACAACCAGTTTCTCCACAACTACCAGTCGGTGTCAGCACTGGGTGAGTCTCCACACTCATCCAGCATCAAGGTTCATCCTCGGAGATACTTTGAGGACGTCACAGCAGCTGTGGAGGAGCTCAGAGACAAACTCCAGGATGTCCTGAGGGACACGTGGACAAACATCTCACTGGCAATCACTGATGTGGACGTTTTGCTGCCTGAACCAGAACCAAAGAGCAGAGATGAGTTCCTGAAATATTCTAGAGGAATCACTCTGGATCCAAACTCAGCGCACAGACGTCTGGTTTTATCTGAGGAGAACAGAAGAGCAACATCAGTGGAAGAACTTCTGTCTCATCCTGATCATCCAGACAGGTTCACTGAATGGTGGCAGGTTCTGAGCAGAGAGAGTCTGACTGGGCGGTGTTACTGGGAGGTGGAGTGGAGCGGGGAAGGGATTTTTGTAGCAGTCGCTTACAAGGACATGAGAAGACCAGGAGGTTCATGTGAATGTGGATTTGGATCTAATGACACATCCTGGGCCTTACATTGTGGAACTCACAGTTATGGACTTTGGAACAACTCCATCCACACTCCAGTCTCTGGTCCTGGCTCCTCCAGGGTCGGGGTGTACCTGGACCACAGGGCCGGTGTTCTGTCCTTCTACAGCGTCTCTGGAACCATGACTCTCCTCCACAGAGTCCAGACCACGTTCACTCAGCCGCTCCACGCCGGAGTCCGGGTTTTTAATGGATCTTGTGCCGAGTTCGTTAAACTGGAATGATGTAAATATACTTGGAGCCCTGCTGGTTAGAGTGGGATTTGTTTTCCAGTTCCTTATTGTTGGACAATCTCTGCTGCTGCTCAGGGTTCTTTTATTTTATGTGTCCGAGTAGTTTTGTTCGACTTCTTCCTTTGATTTCATCCATGACAACGTCGAGAATGATGATGAACCCATAATATAAATTAAACATTTTTACTTGCATTACTTCGAGCTCCTCTTGTTGTTCACACCCACCTTCTCCCTGCAGGCTGCTGAGGGCGGTTGAGTCTCCGTTGATGACGTCCAGGAAGAAGTCAGCGGGGTTGTTGTGAGCCTCGCAGGTGTATCCTGGGAAACAACGCAGCTCCCAGAGTTCAGAACGTCCTGCTGCACCAGATCGCTCTGAGTATTTGAGTCATGATCTTACCGATGTCAGAGAAATAGTCCAGCGCCCTCTGTGCCGGGCCGTGGTAAACCTGAAGGGTTTGGAAAGCGCAGATACATCGTTATTTATTCAGGTTCTGATGAGCCACTTTGACAAACGGCCGCTGTGGAGACCTGTTTGCCGTTGACGAGCAGGGTGAGGCTGTCGAACAGGCGGTAGATGGTGTATCTGGGCTGGTGGATGGACAGGATGATGGTGCGACCGTGGTTCGACATCCTACAGAAACACTGGTTCAGTTTAAAACGCTCAAAATCAAACGTCATTTCCCCAAATGGGTTATTTTGTGTATCAAGTATTTATTCAGGAACATTTATTAATTTCATTTTAGAGGTTTTAATTTGTTGAAATCTCGACTGGGGGAGCGGTGGTGCAGAGGCTAGAGAAGGTGCGCCTCTGATCGGAAGGACACCGGTTCAACTCCCCATACAGACCCACACCTGCCTCCACCCTCATTTGCTCCACTCTGAGCCCTTGAGCAAGGCCCTTAACCCCCAACGAGTTCGTTCGCTGTGGCGACTCCTGAGGAAGGAGCAGCCGAAAGAAGAAGAAACATCTCTTGAAAACTCGACTTGTCCTTTGAGGCGTTCACGAATTCTACATCCCAAAATATTCTTACAAGCGTTTTTTTTTTTAATTCTGAGCCACTTTATTTTGGGTCAAAGAAGAGAATCAGAAAGAACTTCTAATTTTAACATTGTTCCTCTGAAACTGACCCAGTATCTGTGAACAGGCAGCGCAGCTTAAAACTAGGTTAGCCGAAGGTCGACATTTACTTTCAGCTGCAAATTCATCAGTTTGCTGGTCGACTGGTTCGTCTGGTGGACGACTGGTTGGTGAATGGACTGTACTTCTAAAGCACCTTACCAAGAATCATCAGAGCTTTAGATCACTTTCATACACTGATGGGACACAGCAGAGACAATGAGGGGTTCAGGGGACACTTCCGCATGTGACTGCTGGTGGAATTGAACCCCCAACTCTCCCACTGGAGTACGACTCCTCTAACCACTCGGACACGGCCGCCCGAGCACGAGCCCCGTTCTGTGTAAGCGCTCGCAGATCGATGAACGCGACAGTTTTCGGGATACGATAGCCGAGCTCCGTTTCAATGAACGTTTTGACTCAAAGATGGCGGCTGCCACGGGTCCGGGACTTTCCCCTGGATGATTAATTTGGGCTCCTGGACAATAACTGATCTGCAGGACAGTTAATCTGACAGAAGACTATTCAGTCTGCAAAACGATTAATCCACCTGCAGGACAATAAACTGGTATAACACAAGAATAATCCGTCTGCCAGTCAAATAACTGTTTTGTTTTCAGGACAATTTATTGGTCGGCCGGGCGTTCAGTGCGTCTTTGTTTTAAACTGGTACATTTGGGTTTTTGCTCCATCACAAGCAATTAAAGGCCATATTTCTAAATATAGATACACAAACCTATTTTAATCTGACATTTCTAATAACTCGCACAGTAAATATTGAAATAAAGTTTTATTGTCCCTACAATGAATTCTCATCGTCAGAAAATCTCTTTTTGAAGTGAAATTAAAAATAAAACTTGGTTTCTCACATGAAGAATTGAATAATCCGATAGATCAGGACATTTGTATTCTAATGTTGCTGGATTTGTAACTTTTTGACATCCGTGATTCAAATCTTATGACTCCAGTTCGTTAGAGATGATCACCTGTTGCATAGTTCAAGTTAAATCCTCCTGAACAGGTACAACTCTTCCTGCTGACATGAATTCAAACCTGCGACGTCTAAAACATTGTTGCGATATAAAAATGAAACGAGAGTTTTGATCTTAGATCTTGTGTGGTGTCTTGTAGAGACATGTCTGCAGATGGACCGTAGAAACGGGTCATAATTCACCTCTTGAGCAGCAGCAGCACAGAGTTGGCGGTGCTGGCGTCGAGTCCCGTGGTGGGTTCGTCCAGGAAGAGGACGGGCGGGTCGATGATCAGCTCCATGCCAATATTCGTCCTCTTCCTCTCGCCACCAGAGATCCCTCGAATCAGCTGAGTGCCCACCTGGAAGGACGCCACAATGCTCCAATTATTATTAATTATTATTATTATTACTGGGGGCATAACTGTCCATAGCCTCCCTGGTGAGGTCTATTCAGGGGTACTGGAGAAGCGAGTCAGATCGTTGGTTGAACCTCAGATCCAGGATGAACACTGTGGGTTCTGTCTTTGCTGTGGAACACTGGATCAGCTCTTTCACTAGGTTCATCGAGGGGTCATGGGAGTTTCCCCGTCCAGTCTATGCGTTTTGTGGACTTGGAGAAGGCTTTCGACCGTGTTCCTCGAGGTACACAGTGGGGGGTGCTACGTGAGTAGGGGATTGGAGGCCTGTTGCTACGGAATGTTCGGTCCCTGTACGGTCGGTGCGAGACTTTGGTTTGCATTGCCAGTAGTAAGTCTGACCTCGTCAGGGTGGGAGTTGGACTCCAGGGCTGCCCGTTGTCACCGATTCTGTTCAGAACTTTTATGGACTGAATTTCTCGGTGCAGCCAGGGTTTCCGATTCGGTGGCCTCAGGATTTCATCTCTGCTCTTTGCAGATGATGTGGTCCTGTTGGCGTCTTCGTGCCGTGATCTCCAGCTCTCACTGGAGCGGTTCGCAGTCGAGTGTGAAGCAGCTGGGATGAGAACCGGCACCTCCAAATCTGAGGCCGTGGTCCTCAGTCAGATTGTTCTCTTCAGGTCGAGGTTCTGCCTCAAGTGGAGGAGTTCAAGTATCTCAGGGTTTTGTTCACAAGTGAAGAACGGAGCGTGAGATTAACAGATGGATTGATGCAGCATCTACAGTATTGTGGACTCTGTGCTGGTCCGTTGTGGTGAAGAGGGAGCTGAGCTGTAAGGCAAAGCTCTCTGTTTACTGGTCGGTCTACGTTCCTCCCCTCACCTCTGGTCATGAACTCTGGTAGAGACTGAAAGAATGAGATCATATAGATACGGGCGGTTGACACGAGTTTCCTCTGCAGGGTAGCTGGACTCAAACATGCTTTTGTGGCTTACAGGGTATTTTTTGGGACTGATTAGCACCGTTTTTGAGCTTATTAGCAATTATTGTGGGGCTTAATAACCATTTTTGGGTTCAGTTAAGATGTTCTTTGGCTCATAAGCGATGCTTTGTTCACATTAGCGTTCTCATTTTTGAGGCTCATCAGGGAGGGGTTTTTTTGGTGGGGGGCTCGTTATAAATGTTTTTTTGGGACTTGTTAGCTTTTAAGGGATACATTTTGAGTTACCATGTGTTTGTTATGACTTATTAATATCCATTAGTTTTTGGCCTTTGCTCAATATTCGGGACGCTGGTCTTTGTTGTTGTTTTTTTCTGGACCAGAACCTGAAAAGCTTGGGAACAACTTCTTTACTTTATTACATCCAGTTTACTTTCTCCTTCCTGTTCTACTTTGTTTTTAGTACCTGCGCTTAATTTCTTCTATTTTATTCTCTATTTTAGTTTCTAAGAAGCTCCATTGATTCGGCCGTACTCTTCTGAGTTTTGGTTCAATTCTTTTTGTTCTCCACTCTTTAATGGCGCCAGATCTTTCTATTCGTTTAGTGTTGACTATGTTCTGAGTTTTCCTTCCTCACCTTGGAGTCTGCCACTCGTCCCAGTCCCAGTTCCTGGATCAGCTTGGTGACCTTCTGGTCTTTCTCCTGCTGAGTGATGGTCGACGGGAGACGCAGCGCCGCCGAGAAGGTCAAGTTTTCTCTGACGGTCAGAGTTCCCATCACCACATCGTCCTGCAGACCGGGAACCACAGCTATCAAAAACTAAACACCCGCCTCACAT